TCTTGTTTCACTTCTTCTTGGGAAGGAGGCCAAGTCGAAAATTGAATAGACGCATTGCTAATTTCTTCCTTGTTAACTTTGGCAATTTTGAACAGTTTTTATTCTGTTGTGAGAAAATGCATTTCTGTTATATTTTAAACTTATATTTATTTCAAATCAGATGAATTAAACTTTAAATCAGCTAATACTCCTCAAATAAAGATTCAGATAAAGATATTTTGATGTTATATTTAATATTATGTACTAAGAGTAATCAAGTCTAGAACAAGCACATATCCGTGAAGATCAAACTCTCGACATAAAAGAATGGGTCAGAGAGAGAAACTTGTTAACTATCACGTTATGGTAACCGCTCAGATAAACTGATCATAGATTTGGTTACACCAGTCCGAATGGCGCTGTCCTCTTCCGCCGGTTTGGCTGCTGAGGTCGTATAGATCTTTGCCTATTCCACCGTTGGGGTATTCGGGGTTGGTCGAATTCAGTCTGGCTCTTCCTATTCGACCTTACCGCCATAGGTGGCAGAAAAGATCACGAAAGTTAGATCAAATATAAGTTATTTCTGTTGTCGATATTGTTGAAAATGTTCATGTCCAGATGGCTGCACCAGCTTAGCGGAAACTAATATTATTTAATAATGTATTTTCCTTTCTACCTGGTGACTAAAAGTAACCAAGTGTCAGGAGAAGTTGATTTGTTCATTTCTGCAGGAATACTGACTTTGCAAATAAGTAACATTGATTCTCAAAGTTCTTTTTCAATATAAATCACTTGCTGCTCTAATGAATAAGCCTCTTGCCAATGCTCCAAAAATTTACGATAGAATTTAAATCCGAGATAAGTGGTGACTACAGTGTAACTCTGTTGTTTTTAAACTCCAATTAACTAGTACAGGCTCCGGGTGTTTGGTAGTGGTGGTGGTGGGTTCAAATCTTCTGGCTTGCGGTTAGGTGCCTGGGAAGGTGTCGACCTTCCAGGGCTCTTTTGTACGGACGGTCCTGTCCGTACTCTCGCCATGTGGTTTGGACCCGAACTCCAGATAGAGAAAAATTGTTCAGAAGTAGCGACAAAGCTGGGCGCGGCGATCGAGACTTGGCCCCGAAGGATTTTTTCCTTGAAGGGTAGGACTGAAGCGTGTGTGCCACTTACGTCTTTCCTCTCGTCCTTTACCCCTTATCTGTACTTACTCTCTATAAGGAACATAGGAAAGCGATCGAGCGCTTTCTCTCCTCCCTTGAGTGTATGTGTGCATGTGTGTGTGTGTGTGGTCGCGAGCATCATGTCGAATGAGAAGTCTGTGACAAACGTCCGTGTCATGAGGGGCTGGGAACGCCGCACTTGGCGAGTCACAAACACGCCTCGAAGCTGGCTTTCCTACGTTGACAGGGGTTCGATTTTGGCCGTGAGTGTGAGGGCGGCCTTTCTTTACCTTACTATCATTCCTCCCTCTCCCGAGCTGAGCGCCTTCGTAATCCCCGGGATGCTTGAGTGCCCTTGATGGTCATTCCTCGGCTCACTGACCTTTCTAAGCCTAGGAGACCCTTCTATCGTGAACTAGCAGAGCGGGTCGTGAAGGATCCGCTATGTGGCCGGCTTGCATTCATTTTGGTCTTGGCCGCCAGCTGCGGATTACCTCAGCAACTCTGATTTTTCGCTTACCTGGCGATTGGATCCAAATAGGCTATGTCTCAACGACATGGCCTTCATGTGGGGCTTGGCGGATTTGCCAGAGTGTCAACGATGGTGTCCAGTATCTTTCTTCTCGCAATCACTAACGCTGACTGAACAAAAGTACGCTTCGATAGAAAAGAAGGCTTCAATTATTATAGAAGCTGCAAAAGGGTGTGTCTTACTACTTATCTTAGTCATCGTTGGGTTCAATAGGTGGTGAACTTCATGTTTAATACTGAGAAACCTGGAAAAAATTAAAAACGATAAGGTCTAGAAATGGAGAATGAAACTAGGGAAGTATAATTATGAAATGGCTTATAGATCATGAAGGGTAATATACCTGCTGGCACACTCTTCCGGGGTCATTATGGCGCTATCCTGCACAAAGAAAAGTTATATGTGCTCCACGATCGTCTTTGTCACTCACGTATAACCAAGTTGTCCCATTTTGTCAAAGTCAGGAATTTATCTTTCTCTATGGACGATGTAAAAAATGTATGCGCTGTCTTGTGTGTGCAGGATCGAAATTCTAGAAACCCGAAAAATTTTGCCCGATTAAAAGTGACACAACCAATGGAAAGAATCTGCTTAGATTTTAAGGAACCTTTTCCTTTTAACTCACAGAACTCTTATATGTTAACGGTAATAGACAAGTAATCTTGGTTTTCATTTGCTTGTCCCAATATGACAACTAGTGGAGTAATTAAATGCTTAACTCAGATTTTCACCGTGTTCGAGATTCTTTTCTACATCCACTCTGACCGGGGTTCCTCTTTTCTATCTAAGGAACTTCGTGAGTATTTCACTAATTTGGGTATAGCTACTGGTCGAACAACCTCCAACGGAATGGTTAGTGTGAACGATACAACGGAATTATTTCGAAGCATCAACATTCTACTCTGATTTTTGACGATTCAATGACGCTAAGACGATCTTCAGGGAATCGAAGAAAAACCGGTACTATACCCAGAAAATTAAAAAAATAAAAATTATAAAGAAAATGGAGTGGGGGAGAACGTCATAAGCATTACCTTCCCTCGATTTAGACCCTTCCAGAATCATCCAGCATTTTGCTATATATATATATATATATATATATATATATATATATATATATATATATATATATTTATATTATATAACCTCTTTACTTTTATTGTAGGTATTGAAAGGAGGAGGAAGCTTTTCTTTCTCTTCCTCTTTTGTTGAACTCTCTGTCTCCAGGAACAGAAGAACCCAGACGACATTATGCCGAAGGGCGAAGTCTCTTTTGAGGAGGTAGACAAATCCGACCCCGTGTATACGGAGTCTACAGGAAATTTTTTTCCGAGCCTCCGGGTTCGGAATGCCCCACGTTAAAAAAAACTGGTCTTGTGCCACATCTTGCCTTGTAAGGGAGGTTGGTAAATAGAGAGGTATTTATATTGGCTCTTATCCCCGTCTTGGACTAATCTGTTTATTAAAACCTTCGTCAAAGTACTTCTTTAGTTTTGTTTCTTGCTACACACATACAAAAAATTGTTTTTAAAATATTGGTCTTTGTTGATTTTTAGTAAGCTTTTTCCATTTATGATCAGTAAATATAGTTTCTACTTAATAACAATATCAACTAACGGGAACAAAGTAATTGAAAAAAAATTGAAAACTTTGAAACTTTATAAATTATCATAATTAAAATTTTAAAAAATGAAAACAATTCTTGTAAAAATTTATTATTCATCGAAAATGCTTTTTCTGAAAACAATAGTGTCCTTAATATATCTTATCCATTAAAGCAATTAAAAGATTTTCTAATTAAATAATATCTTACTTTTATTGCTTTTTATTTTACGAGTGAGACCAGTTTATGGTGTTTCTATTTTATAAAAAAATGATGATTTAAATTCTCCAAGTTTTGGTTTTAACTAATATTAATATGAATTAGGAAAATACTTAATTTCTCGAAACTTCTTAAAATTAAAGGTGGTGGGTAACCGATGTATAAAAAAATAAAGAAAAAGTTATCAAAATTTAAAAAAGAAATCATTTACAAAATAATTTAATTCATTTGTGAATAAGTCCTGAAAGCTTTATTAAAACCTGGCAATTATTTGATTCTTGCAAGAATTTCCAATCAATGTTTTCACCGCAAAAAAGACGATAAAATTTCCTATATTAATCTTTGGTCCCCACTTCCACTGAAACAAAAAAACAAAATTCTTAATCAACATTTCGAACATTCTAAAAAGGACCAAAAATTTTATAATTTAATAACAAAAAAAATCCTTTTATCCTTCCTCTTAAGAACAAAGTTTTTGACGATAAAACTTTGTTTTAAATTAAGTGGGGGTGTTTTTCATCATGATGTGCTAATGTTTTTTTTTTAGAAAATCAGTGAATTTACCCAAACTAAAATTATAAAATACAAAATTTTAAAAGACAAAATATAAATAAAAATGGCGGTAGACTAGAAGAAAAGAGTGATGAAAGTTTGCCTGTGTTGTAACTCATATGACGCGTCAAATAAAATGAGTTCATCGTGATCTCTGTTGATATGGAAACAGCTACACATTCTGTTGCCAAGCAACTAAATTTAATAAAATCAGAAGCCTTTTCTTACGTCTGCATTTGCACGTGTAACTTGTGTGAGTTTATTAAGACAGGATTTCTGACAGCGATATTGTTTTGCAGTAAAATAATCTCTGCTATTAAAGATTTTATTTTAACGCAGTTGAAGAGGACGTGAGGGCATCTTCTGCAAAATGTCTGCTTGTTAAGAGATGCCTGGAAACACGTCTTGCAAACGAGCTGCCTCTTGCACGTTGACTAATTCAGCTATTATTATAAGATTTATATGTATATTTGAAAGTGGTAGGGATAATCGGATAATTGAATTAAGAAAAAACATGGAGAGGTCACAAAGACGGACTATTTGAAAAGGGGATGGCGTAGGAAGAAAAGAAGAGAGGGAAGAAAAGGAAAGAGAAGAAAAGGAAGAAAAGGAAGAAAAGAGGGAAGACAAGGAAAGAGAAAAGAAAAGAGAGAAGAAAATGTAAGAGGGAAAAAGGAAAGCGAGAAGAAATAAAAGAAGGAAGGAAAAAGAGAAGAAAATAAGAGGAAGAAAAAGAGAATAAAAGAAAAGAGGGAATAAAAACAGAGAAGAAAAGGAAAGAGAGAAGAAAAGAAGAAAGTGAAGAAAGTGACGAAGAATTCGTCAAAAGTGAGAAAATGGAGCATGACGATTATGTATTGCAGGAAAAGAATAAAATGATGAAACATTGCGAGGGAGAAAAAAGAAGGAAAAAGATAGAAAAAGAAGGAAAGTAGAAGAGAAGAAGAAGGGAAAGATATCAAAAGAAAGAAAGAAAGAAAGAAAGAAAGAGAAACGGAACAAGAAAGTCAAGGACGAAAGTGAAAAGGAAAAAGAAAAGGAAGGTGAAAAAAGGACAAAGATATAAAGATTCGAAGGGATGCATAAATAGAGAATAAAAAAAAAGATAACAAAATAAGGGAGATGAGGCAGAGGAAAGGAAAAACGAAAAAGAATAAACAAGATAGAGAAAAAGAAGAAAATAATGAAAGCCACAGAGGATAAATAGTGAATAGGAAAGTGAAAAAAAGAATCGAAAGAAACAAGGCCGGAAAAGAAAGATGAAAAGAATGGGGGAATAAAAAAAGAGAACCAAAATAAAAGAAGAAGAAGAAGGAGGAGGAGAAGAAGAAGGAGGACGAGGAGGAGGAGAAGAAGAAGAAGGAGGAGGAGAAGAAGAAGAAGTTGTAGTAGAATTACTGATAACCGTTATACCTCCCTCTCCCTGCAGTGAAGTCAAGATCCAGTTTCAAATGCATCCACATCAAATGTCGTACACTTGATCCATATCAACATGATGACAATGTTGAATATCAAACAGCAACAGGTTCTACGATTTCTCATGCGTCGTAGTTATTCTTAAAGGAGGCTGAATAACTTGCATTTGTGAAATTATGAAGGAGGCACGATGGTGTAATGTGTAGCGGTCCGGACTGAGGAATCAGGCAGCTGAGTTCGTTATATTCACTTGCGTGCAAATAGTCATGGGGAAGGGGTCCTATATCCTTGTGTAGCAATCTGTCTCGAAGAAAGTTATTTTCTATTCAATACATGAGTGGTCGACTAAACCGGCTTCCCCACCAGCCCTTGATCTGGTGTTGAGGGTAAGTTAAACCCCAGCAGCACAAAAACCAAGAGCTGTTAAAAGTCGGATTAAGGCTGAGTTAGCAGCTATCCCCCAACTATGGGTTAAATAGAATCATCAGCCTGCAATTGGCCAATTGTGGTGGTTACTGCTACACCCTTGAAGACATGGTCGATCGGGGAGCGGTTCCCTCAGCAGGAGTAAGTAGGCCCTGAATTTGGATTTCGATTCGGTGAATTTTTACCAAACTAGGTTAATCTCGCACTTCCTGAGCCAATATGTTGGGTGTCATCCGGAATCCTATAAAAATTAAAATTGAATTATATCTTATAACTGTGTTATACTTGTGTCATATTTGTTTAATCGCCTGGAGAAAAGGAAGTGGGAACACTTCATTGTCGTGTAATGAACATCAAACTGGGTTTTAAATCATTACTTATATCAAAAGTCAAGTTTTAGAAATGACAAGATAAAATGAAAGAGAAACGCGGTCAAAGGTCAAAAACATCGCGCGTGATATTAAGAGAAACTCGACAGGATTCAAGAAATTAAAAAAAAATGACGTAACTTAGTAGTCAATCTTCTTGCTTGCTTGCCGAGCAAGAGTTTGACTTCAAAAAAGACTTTCACTGTTTTCTTAGCAGTAGATCAAAAGACTAAAGGATATCAGACAAATTATTTAAACAGTTGTTGCTGTTTAATTATGATAGGCATTTCTGAATATCAGTCAGTTAAGTGCCATGCATGATAAACGTTTAGGCGATCATGTATCTTTCGATTCATGACTGACGAGGACATGTGTTCCGATAAAAATTGTCCTTGGTTCAACAGGATATTACACTTTGTTCAGGAGTTTCTTTTTCTTGAGCCGTTTTTGAAAGAAGTTGGCCTTTACACCTCATTTAGAGCCAAGTTCAAGGTGAAAATTGCAACACCAATTTCCCGCGCCAATGCCTGTATTCTCTAGCCTGGATCTTCGATCAGTTTCTCCTGCAGTTGTTGAATGAATTCCGGTGTACGGAGGCAATCAGAATGTTTGTCGTGTTCTTTTCCCACCAGCCACAGCCTTGTAGTCTGTTGCAACTCTCCATTTCACGGTGTTCAAGGAACATTGAGCGGCTGTCACGATTAAGGTAATTTGATGCCCGACACCAATCACACTCTGATGTAAGTTACCCCTTTTTCAATATTTAGGTGGCTTCCACTCGTCCATGTTAGTTAACTTTGATACACGCTTAGACGATCATTTACCTTTCGATACACGATTGACGAAGCAAATTCTTTCCTGCAGTAGGTTGCCATTTCTTTCTGCATTAGACCAGTTGTCATCCAAGGCAACTGTCCTGTTATTTACCCATAGTTGGTGGGGGAGAAGAAGAGGATTTATACCTTTCCCAGTGGTATCAGCACGAAAGTGAACATAATGGATTTGACTGGAATTGGAACTCAGATCTCCGATTCCGCAATCCATTATTGCTTTGACACCTCTAAAACCTGTAGTGACTAGGTATCCCAATGTCACTCCCTGTTTACAGACACTCCAAACCAAATCAGAAAAAAAAAACAACATTAGTCTCTGTCAAATTTAGCTCGAACATCCTGTATATTCAGAAGTAATCCGTGCTATTTGTTGATTCTCGTAAAATAGACCTAAAATAGTTTTTCTTCAAGTAATGAATCTTTTGGTAGAGAAGGAAAAAAGGAATACATTATTGCGCAATTCGATGAAATGACTCGATATTTATATTTATATAACATCCATAAATAATTTTACAATTGTTATTCAGCATCTCACTGTTAATTAAGCACTTATCTTTTCAAATTTAAGCACGGCCATTTTTTCTGTCAGATTTCGTTAAATTTTAAAAAAGTTCCGTGTTGTTTTTATCGTAAGGGAGATAACACGTGATGAACGCAATTTCGCATCAGTGTTTTACCCAATACACAAATAAATACACCAAAGAGGTCATTTATTTTTTGTCAACCATTATTATGTATGTGTAAAGTCATAGAAATGGTCAAACATGAAACAGGAGAAAGACTGATTATGACGAAGTCATTTGAAGATTGTTTTTAACAGTTAATTTTCAGATGTCAGCGAAAGTTTCAGGGCTTCAGTCGCGACCTTGCTCGACATAATTTTGCCGAATGAATATGCCCGAATATAAGTAATGATACGTTAGACGTTTGTCTGATACAGAAAAGGGTATAGTTTTCAGGTTCAAGTACTTTTTATGGTATTAATAAGCTGAAAAATCAATGACGTGAACAGGAAGCACTTTCATATGAAGAAACCTGAACATATTCCGTATGAAGGTTCAGACTGAATTCGAAACTGAGTTAACAGTTCGAGTGATAGAAAAGATGACTTACAAAACAAACATCGAAATACAAGTTATGCTTGAGGACACTTTTCTCTTCGAAAATTCGGCAAAAGTCTTCTAAAAATGGATTAAATTCAGTTTGAAAAGAATTTGAAAACAGAAAGAAAGAAACGAAGTATAATTAAAATAATTTAATAACTCAATGATTTTTCAATTTCCCAGCTTAAATTTCTCCCTTTGGGATCTTAGGTTTGTTCAGTCCCCACCCCCTCATCTTGAATGTCATTTAAATATTCCCCCCCACATTATACTTTTATGTGGTAATTGCTGAAGTAATTCATGAAACCAAATTTCTTTATTACTTGCAATAAAATAATAAAAAAAAAACTTTATTTCAAAGAATCAAAACATTTGATACTGATTACTTCACATGTCTAAAGGTCCTGCCATTCGATTTGAAATTCCTCACATCAAAACTAGACGGCTTCTGTTTGAAAAACATGATATTTATAAAACACAACGTGTCTTTATTTATCGTTTACGCAACCTAGTTTGCCCTACGTAGTAATAAGATATTCGGTGTTATAATATCACGAGGCATTCCTCAACGCTAATCGGAACGTACATGAAATAAGCCACCATAAAAAAAAAACAACAAAAAATTAAATATATCCTTATTAAGTTATGAGATCAGGTTACTAATACATTTTAAATTTCTTTTATTTTGTTTTTTTTATAATACATTTTTTTTTATTTTTAATGATTTAAAAAAAAGAGTTCGCTATAATCGTCATTTTCACTGAGAATTTATAGTCATTGAAGGCAAATTTGAATTATTTATTAAATTGTTTGGTATTAAATAGACATCAAAGTAAAAGGCGATAAATTACTAGTCATGTAATAATATCCATATTTTTTTTAAAAAAACAATGTGTGTGTCTAAAAATTGTATTTCACAAAATGAAATAAATGATAACGCTTTAAATGGTAAACAGTCTTTGTAAGTAAAATGATTAATATTATGAAACATGTTCTGTTGAATATTGAGCAATAGTAAGCAAATAAAACAAAAAGTTAAAAACTTATCATCCCAACTTAAATTTTCGCAGATATTATTCGGTCCTCCGAAGTTTAGATAGCTTACTTGAATTTATGAACTGATATCATAATTAACATAAGTTATTAACCGACAATGTCTGTTAATAAATTCACTTGAACTATATAATCTTCTGAGGAGCGGATAAAATCTGCGAGAATTGGGAAGATAAGATTTGAACTTGTCTCAAGCTTGTCTCGCTAGATCAGTTACGACTGAAAAGTGAGTTCGATCCTCACTAGGTGTCCCATACTTTTGGACATAGGCACATCTAAGCTACGCTTACAAAATAAATATATATATATATATATATATATATATATATATATATATATCATTCGCATACAGTACTGTTCATATATAAACATATATGACCGAGGACTTAAAGAGGCTATATTGTAGAGGTCAGAGAAGCATCCAATTCTGTGGCTTTTCTACAAATTAACAGTTCTAGGGAAGAAGTGGAAATTCCTTAACCCCAACTGAATATAAAACGCGACAGAGGAGGGCAATACCTGCACTGGAAAATCTGCAATTTTTACGGGAAGGAAACTGCAAGAAATTGGTATGAACATTACCCAGACTCGGTACCAAAGATAGGACGTGTAACAATTTCATGGAATTTAACAATAGACATCTACAGAACAGAATTAAAGCTAATCGCCCAGCCATTGTGATCAAAGACCGCATCTGAATATATCGGTTTATATTCGTGATCATCGTGATCAAAGAAAAAAAAAACATACTGAATATGCTTTATAATTGACATGGCAGCCCTTGCTGATTGTAATGTATCTTTGAGGATCTTTAAAAAAAAAACTATCAAAATACAAGTATCTTGAAATGGAGTTGTCAAAAATGTGACACATGAGGACATCAAGAATTCAAGTTGTAGTTGGAATCCTCAGGTTGATTGGAAAAGGTTACGAGACACTGATTGAAAGGATTCCTGCTTGCCCATGCCTTAAATCAATACCAAACATTGTATTCACAATTACAGCTTACACATTACGAAGGGTTTTATGTGTGATCTTAGAGTTTCTTTCTTTCTTTTTTTTTTTTTTAAAATGATCAGTGGAAAATTTCACGAAGCCATTTACACAACAAAAATAAAAGAAATACTACTACTACTACTACTACTACTACTACTAGTAATAATTAAAGGAACTTGAGAGAACTAATGCCAAAATTTTGCAAACATTTCACATGCAAGGATGCCTCACCCTAAGGCAGATGGTGACCGTCAGTATCTGCTAAGGAGCAGTGAGTGTAGCGGCATGATTCAACTGGAATTGTCTTACAAAATTTCAATAATCAGACTTTATAAGAATCTTGTAGCTATACAAGATTGAATTTTACATTTCATAATAGAGGATGAAAAAGTAAAAGCTTTATTTTGTATCAAAAGAATCCGATAAATATACAAGAGAATTCAGGTTAAATCTTGAAAATAGCGCTGAAGTCGATAAAACTGCCACAAAATCAGTAAGAAAACCTAAAAAGCTAGGACAAAAGCAAACAGAAGAAAGCAGAATTGAAAAGCCTCTACATCGCCAGTTCCTTGCCTGAAGCAAAAATGCTGATGGAGATCAATTCGCTGCCCACCAATGGCTAAGGAGTTCAGGACTTAAAGCTGAGCCTGAAGGGTTTATTCTTACTCCACAGGACCAAAGCCCAGCTCACGCAAATATCAAGCTAATATCTTGCATAATAGTACGGACCCAAAGTATAGGTTCTGTAATCAATACATTGATACTATTGATACCTTATATCAGGATGTTCAATCACACACAAGGAATGCAAAAACCGTTATGACAGCACTAGAATATCTGTCATCACTACGCAATAAAAACAGCTGCAAATTGGTATGAA